TTTGTTCTGACCAACTGAGGAAAAAAGCATTACAATAAATCGTGCTACCAATGGTGATTTAATCTAAATTAGCTCATATCACATCAAACCGTGCAAATTATTATTATTGTTATACTTTCTTCTCAAATTGTTAATGTTAACAACATCAGCATTACGTGACTATGTTAATATTGTGTATATAAGCGAGTAGACTTCTAGATTTTCTAAAACAGTCTAATCTCTAATTGTCATAGCAATCGAATTTCATATTAAGAAATTCTTTTAACCCAAAAAGCAAATTATGCTCCCTTCGAACTGGTTGTTTTTAAAATACAAATCTTGTGTAATCCCAGGTTATCTGTAATCAGAAGCACATTTAAAACTGGAATATAATTTAATTTCATTCACATGTGTTTCATAAACACATTGTCTTTTCTGGATTACAATCCGCCATCAAAATGATCAATTTAATTATTTTAGGCTTTAAAAAAAAGGCTTTATACGATCCGCCACCTGCAGACAACTTCTTTATGATAGCCTAGTAGCCGGGACAACTTCTTTATGTTTATGAAAACCTACCTGTACCACTCAAATTAGAAAACTTTATTATAAGATTACCGTTGTGAATCGGGCTAAAGTAAGGCGATAGTTTTGAACACTGGCTGGTTATGTATTTGCTCAAATATTGATTTCGGATCATTTTTAACCAAAAAAAAGTTACGGACTGCAGCTTTAAGTAAACAGGTTCCATAGGGTTATAAACTCATAGGGTTATTTATAAATAATTAAATTAAATTACTCACAAACTTAAGACTTAACAAACTGCAGTCCATTATAGCTTTCGAAATCAAATATGTCTCTAGGGAACTTTTTTATACATTTGTGATTTATAAATGAGGTAATCAATGATGCGCTGTGAAATGTCCAGTTTAGGGATCAGTTCCAAAGCTCTGGTGCCCAACACAGTCCTCAGGACGATACGGCACAACTGCTGCAGAGACAGAGGATTACCTGCAGAAACACAGAACAGCAGATTAAATACTCTGAGACATATACTGTATAGCACCAATGCAGACTGTAACACACTCTCATAGTGCCGCAGACAGAGAGTGGCAGGAGATTCTGGTTTTGTATAGTCTCTAGGTTTGTGACCCAAGTTATCACTTATGTTGACATCTCCACCAAACTCCACCAGCAGCTCCACTCTCGGCCCTCGCCACATGATGCAGTGCCGTCTCATAGAACTTGGTGGCATTCACCTTTGCACCTTTGAAAGTATGAATGATAATGCAGAATAATACATAATAGTGCAAAATAAAATATATAAAGTACATCTATAAATAAAGTACCTCACCTGCATTGAGCAGCAGCAGGGCACAGTCGAAGTGAGCTTTAGCACAGGCAGCATGTAACGGCGTCCCAAAGTAAATGTCAAAGGCCTCCAGCAACGCTCCCTTGTCTATCATAAGCTTCACACAGTCTGGGTTACCTGCACAGATATCATGAGAACACACACAAGTCTAAACACAAAGCAAATCATCACACCTCGCTGTCTCACTATGGCAAGCCGTTCTGACTTTTATTCATTCTCAGGATATGAATTCTTGATATCAACAATTCAATTTTTACTAGTTAAAATGTTCATTCTTGATATCAGGAATTAGATTTCTACTAGTAACAATTGCTATTTTTGATATCAGCAACTACATTTCCACTAGTAACAATGTTAATTCTTGATATCAACAATTACTTTTCAACTAGTAAAAACTATCATTCTTGATATCTGTAATTGTATTTTCACTAGTTAAATGTCACCATAGGCTGCCATTCAAAATCAATTGTTGATATCAAGAATTACTTGCAGAAATGTTCATTTCTGATATCTGGAAATGTATTTCTGATATTAACAATTGGGAGGGTAATTTCTGATATCTAAAATGGCTTTCTTACTAGTAACAATCACATTCATGATATCAGAAATGAACATTGTCACTAGTGACAATCAAATTGTTGATATCAAGAACAAACATCCGTACTAGTAACCATGTGATTACTGATATCAAAAATAGCAATTGTTACTAGTAGAAATCTAATTCCTGATATCAAGAATGAACATTTTAACTAGTAAAAATTGAATTGTTGATATCAAGAACAAACATCCGTACTAGTAACCATGTGATTACTGATATCAAAAATAGCAATTGTTACTAGTAGAAATCTAATTCCTGATATCAAGAATGAACATTTTAACTAGTAAAAATTGAATTGTTGATATCAAGAACAAACATCCGTACTAGTAACCATGTGATTACTGATATCAAAAATAGCAATTGTTACTAGTAGAAATCTAATTCCTGATATCAAGAATGAACATTTTAACTAGTAAAAATTGAATTGTTGATATCAAGAAATCATATCCTGACAATGAATGAAAGTCAATACCGCTTGCCATAGACTCACCTCGTATGCAGGCCTCATGGAGTGGGGATGCTGTGAGGGCTGTCAGGGAAGGGTTGACTGATGCTCCGTGATCCACCAGCAGCTTGACACATGACAGAGGGGAGTACTGCCATGGATGGTGCTTACATCCACCTGTACACACAGTTTTTAGACTTATAGTCATGAATGAGTTTTTGCAGGGTGGGGTGTCTGTTATTAATTTCAATTTTCCAAATATCAGTGCCTTGTTATTCCTCACATCTTCTCTAATATTGGGTCAGGGAAGGGTTGACTGATGCTCCGTGATCCACCAGCAGCTTGACACATGACAGAGGGGAGTACTGCCATGGATGGTGCTTACATCCACCTGTACACACACAGTTTTTAGACTTATAGTCATGAATGAGTTTTTGCAGGGTGGGGTGTCTGTTATTAATTTCAATTTTCCAAATATCAGTGCCTTGTTATTCCTCACATCTTCTCTAATATTGTTGGCTCTATGATGATTTGCTCATGCTCCTCTATTGTAAGTCACTTAGGATAAAAGCGTCTGCTAAATGCATACATGTATACGCAATTAAGGACATCACTGAAATGAGGCACTCGTTAAAATATACCTGGTGATGTAACCCACCTGAGCTCCTGCCTCCAGCAGTATTTGAACACAGTTTGGATGGGCTTGGATGCAGGCATCATGCAGAGGGCTGAAGTTATCCACAGACACGATATTAAATGATGCTCCTGCTTCTATCAGTTGCTTTAATTCCAGAGCTCGACCTAGAGACGCAGCCTCGTGTACCGGCGTGCGTTCAGCCCAGTGCCCTACAAATGCATACTTTATTTCCTTTAGGTTTGAATAGATTTTATTTCAAACATAAAATCCCCCCACCCCCAAATACTCACCGCTGTCACCATAAAACGTTGATCGGGCAGCAGTGAGTTCCATAGTTTAATAAATCCAATATTACTCATATAGCATGCGAACAACGTGCTGATAAGGTAAACTTGTTCTATATTTAGAGAAGCCGCCTGTGCTGTTTAGGATTTGCGATACTACAGATTGAATACGGCAAATTCGCAAAGGATCCTGGGAGATGTAGTTCCTCAGTTTGCACTCACTACTTTATAAATAGCATTAACTCCCTTATTAATCTTTTTTAATGGCAAAACTTAACTTTTATAGTAACGAAACACTTGTATGTAACAGCACACATATTTAATAACAATTTCCAAAATTAGATTAAGCTGCTGCATATACATTTTGTTTTAATATATATTTAAAAATGATGGATTACTATTAACATTTAATAAAAATTTTTTTTTAACATTTTAAAATTAAAATTTAAAGAAAAAAAAAATGAAATTTTGGAGCGATTGTACAGCTTTTGTAGCATGATGTATTTGGTTTAAATCACGGGTGTCAAACTCATGCTGCGTTCACGCCATATCGTAATTACCGTATTTGTATCAGGTGTGTTTAATTAGGGTTGAATCTAAACTCTGCAGGGCTCCGGCCCTCCAGGAATTGAGTTTGACACCCCTGGTTTAAATAAATAAACACAAAGTCAGTTTTCCACAAGTTAACATTTTTACTTTGCAGTACAGAAACCATTTGAGCCCCAATCCTTTCAGCATTTGTTTGTTTTTCTTTTTTAAAACATTGGTGACTTTGCACAGGGCCCCGGTCATGTCAATACTGCCATAGACATTTTGGTCCTTGCTAACACGTCAGAGCCGTTGAAGAGACACTGCCTGCTCCTCTCTCTGCTCTGAGGTGAGGGAGAAGGAGAGCTTCCTGATACACACTAGACAAGCAGATTCCAGACATACAGTTAAGCAGCTTTTTCCACTGACGTGTAATAACATCCATGTAGTAGCCTTTGAATCACACATAACCCATCAGAAAAGAGATGCAAGGCAAAGCTGAAAGAAACCCCGGCCCTTCCAACAAGTAGCACAATTTACAGCTAATAGGGGGGTCAGTTATGTCAAATCACATAAGCATATTGCAAAACGAATACTGTGTGGTTGGACAGGGATTACATAAAAGATTATCTACACTGTGTGTGCTTGATACTTTCCTTCGATCTGTAAACGCAGGTAATTGGAGAAATGTTGCAAACGAAATATTCCGGATACTAGTTTAAGCACCAGTTGTAATTTCTAGGAAAACAGAATAATGGATAATCCCTGGAAGTTATCTTAGAAGTAGATTGTTTCTTTTAAAAATAAAACCATGTGCTGTTAAACCTGGCCAAACTCAAAACAGATCATTTTGCAGTTTTGCAAAACCCGATCCTCCTCCCCTTTAAGGTTATTTTTTTTTACAGCAAACACAAATATATTTAAAAAAATATGTATTTCTTCATATCACTTGAATACATCTTTTTTGGCATCTTTGGGCTTTTTACATCTTATGTCTAAGCAGGTTGAGATAAAGATCACATGATGGAAACTGAATACAGGCCGTTGATAAACAATCAGTGCAAAATGGATCTCGCTTCCTGATTATAAAAAGCAGACTGGCAGAACCTTCTCCCCTTCTCCCCCAAAAATGCTAAATTTGTATAACTGTTTACATGAAATTCCATTTTGGGCAAAACATATGCTTGGATAGCCAGCTCGCCCAGTTTGGTTGCCATTTTTTTCTTTTTTCTTTAACCTTAAGATTATGATCGTCTGAATATCTGATATTCAAGAGCAGCTGGAGCTAGTTTACTGGTCAGCACCGTCTCCGAAGATGTCGTTTTTCTTGCGCTCCATTTCAGCAAAGTCAAACTCTGTGCCCGTCATTCGCTTGTAGATGTCTTTGATATCGTCGCAGGTCGTCTCAAAGTGGGTTGTGGCATCATAGGAGCGAGAGATAAAGACCTAGGTGCAGATAAAAAAAACTTAGTACTGTAATCACTCTTTGTATATCAAGCGAGCACAATGTAAACACTTACCTGGCTGTCAGATCCCAAATCGGTTGGCGCATACTGGTCACTAATGCTCACAATTCTGCAAAAAGATCACACATGATTTTATTTATCCGATTGCATGCATGTAAAAGTAAGTTTTATATATCAGCTAGTGCAAACAGACATGCAAACGTACTTCTGCTCAACCGGTTCCAAAAGGTCCAGGGCTGGTTTGATCTCTTTCTCAGGGTCGCTGGTCTCCACAGTGGTGCTGACTATGGCTATGTATTTACCCTGGGCTGCCACGTTGTGTGCGTAAGAGATCATGCACACATAGATATCTAAAAGGAGGAGATGATTTTTAATGTACAATAATGTACCTTTACAAAGTTTAGGCTTGGTAATATTTTTAATGCTTTTTTTAATGCTGCATTTATTTACTCAAAACTACATTAAAAACAGGAATATTGTGAAATAGTATTACAATACATTACTATTTTAATGTATTTTCAAAATTTAATTTATTCCTGTTATGGAAAAGCTAAATTTGTCATTTATATAAAATGTAAACAGGTGGCAAAAAACTGATGCATGTCAATATCTCAGATAAGTGTATTATGCCTTTAATAAATGTAGTAAAAAATATATAATATTTAATAATAATAAAATATATGAATAATTACTCCGATAAATCTGAATTATTACTTTAAAATATTGGAAAGCTACATGCCAATATTTTAAATTCATATTTATATTATTAATCAATGTAACTTCTAAAAAGACTGTTCAAGAGCATTTATTGTGGAAATAAAATACTTAGTTACTGTCAATCCTCAAGTACATTAAATATAAAATAAAATGAGATTAAAATAAGGTAAGAGCCCATAGAACATGCAAGCGCTGTGGCTTCCTGTTAACACTAACCATGCTTCCTGTTAACCTGGTTCTGAGGGATGATGATCTGGCAGGAGTTGGCATCACTGGTGTTCTTGATGGGGTGGCTCATGATGCAGATGACCCGGATCACCTGACCCACCTTGTTGACTCGGTCTGTGACATAGCTGGGGTCGCAAATCAGCTGCTTGCAACGAGCGATCTGACCGTGAAGAATAAACAACATTAAAGTCAAAGCACATTTTAAGGATAAATTAGATTTCACACCATTTCACACAGCTTGCAACAGAAACTAACCTCTCCCTCAGATTTGACGCCCACCACTTTGCCGTTCTCTATAATAATATCCTCAATGGGCTTGTTCAGCATGTACGTTCCTCCATAAATGGCACTTAATCTGTGAGTGACAAAAATAAACTGCTAGTGCACTTAGAGTACTGCAATCTAAGCACACTACACACAGACAGGTTTAAAAATGATGTGAATGTTAGTGGCAGAGGAAGTAGCTGGGGAAACTCACCTAGCGAAGCCTTGGGGCAGCTCTCCCAGGCCATAGAGAGGGTACAGATATGGACTCTTGCCATACCTCGCCAAAGACTCGCTGTACAACTTAATCCTGTTTATTGTCTCCATGCAGGGCTGATCCAGGTAGCTGGACAGATAGACAACACAAACAGGTTTAACTTCATGGGACAAACAAGCCTGTGATGTTGTCAGTGTTTTAGGTGACTTTCTCCAAAAAGTAGATGAGGTTTTGACTCACTCATCTGTGCGGTAGAGTGCAAGAGCGTGGCCAGTGAAGTCAACAACATCTTGCCCGAGGTCAAACTTTTTGTACACATCTCGCATGGTGGACTTTTTTGGGTCCACTCCTTCCAAGGTCTTTGGGTCATTTTCATCAAAGTTGGCAACAAACACGAGAAACTTCCTGAATCGTCTTTTCTCAAAAAGTCCCATGAGGCCTGAAAGACAATTGAAACATGTTAAAAGATGGTATTTTTTCCGAATGACAGCATGCACTTTGTTTAGAGGGATGTATTTTAGGAACAAAACATGCTAGCATCGCTCACTTAATCTGCAAAAGAAGAACAACTACAGAACTGTTTTACACACAATAATTTCATTATGCTACAAAATTAATCAAAAGGGAAGTAAGGCGAGACGTCCACTCATCACTTCATTGTAATTCCTCTTCTACTCATAACAGACCAGGGTGAATTTATTGATATATCATTATAGTTTTTATTAATATTTAAAATTGTCTTTTATGCTTTTTACACTTTCTATTTAGCTTTTTCTATTTTTATTTCCAGGTATTAATAGTGATGCAACTTATGGTTTTTAATCTAATATTAATATTTTATTTCATATCAGCTTTATTTCAATTAACAAAAATGTTTTTAATAACTTTAGTTAACAATAATAACCCTGGTTCAGACAATAACTCACTCCAGCCTACTTGGCTGTAGATGGCAGGAGCATGGGCCACCCACAGCCTGTTCACTGACCATCTGATGAACAACGCATACAAAAATGGCAAGAGTTGGCTTGAAATCGCCAGTTTCAATCTGAATTTGCCAGTTTAACTGTGAAAAATAAAAAATAAAAAAAGAAGAAAAATATCTACTGCATTTGCAAGACCTTGTTTGTTTCTATCTTTAGGTTATCTGAATCATAAACCTGTCACTTACTGGATGCCAGAGCTTCAGTCTCAGTGGAGGGCACTTTGTAGATGCTGCCCTTTTTGTAGACGAAGCTGCCCTCAATCACTTTGAAGTCCAGGTAACGCGTCACCTGTGTGATCAGCAGCATACTTTATTTCCAGGTATTAATAGTGATGCAACTTATGGTTTTTAATCTAATATTAATATTTTATTTCATATCAGCTTTATTTCAATTAACAAAAATGTTTTTTAATAACTTTAGTTAACAATAATAACCCTGGTTCAGACAATAACTCACTCCAGCCTACTTGGCTGTAGATGGCAGGAGCATGGGCCACCCACAGCCTGTTCACTGACCATCTGATGAACAACGCATACAAAAATGGCAAGAGTTGGCTTGAAATCGCCAGTTTCAATCTGAATTTGCCAGTTTAACTGTGAAAAATAAAAAATAAAAAAAGAAGAAAAATATCTACTGCATTTGCAAGACCTTGTTTGTTTCTATCTTTAGGTTATCTGAATCATAAACCTGTCACTTACTGGATGCCAGAGCTTCAGTCTCAGTGGAGGGCACTTTGTAGATGCTGCCCTTTTTGTAGACGAAGCTGCCCTCAATCACTTTGAAGTCCAGGTAACGCGTCACCTGTGTGATCAGCAGCATACGGACTAGCTGACCTATGAATACAAAAAGGACAGAATCATCATCCATTGTATTCTTGAGCGTTTTAAGAGTGAAAGAAAACTGCTAAGCAACAGGATATGTGTGACTGAGGGATCCAGCAGTGCCTGGCAAAGAGCGATCCGGAACCTGCTGTTTATTTGGCCGAGATGACAGATTCCAAGAAGTGACGGCTGAAATGTAAATGTAAAGTTTGATGTTGTTGCTTCCTACCGTTAGCCATTAGAAATTTGGGAATGAGGTCCACGTTCCAGTCGCGGCCCTTTCCCATGGACTCAGGAGGGCTGCCAGGAAGGCTGAAACGCTTGAACAACTGTGAGCAAACCAAAAGACAATGTTAGAGTCTGTGGAGATTTAGAGAATAGCTGTGGTGTCAAACAGTGACTTACATCCTCCAAAGGGGTGATGGAGGCACTCTCCCCTCCATAGTATGAGTTCCTGTCCATGTGCAGAACCTTCTTCCCCTTCACGGACATGATCCCAGACAGGATGCATTCCTAGAGGAAACGCATGAATGCAGATTGATTCAGTACAACATATCTCAGACATGTGACCATGATGACCCCAGGCCATTCAAAATGCAGTCATGGCTTGTATAATATACTTAATGCCAGTTATTTAGTGGTTTTGAAGTAGGTTGCATCTCTGTGGAAAATAAAATGATACATACTGTCCTTGACTTTAACAACGCATGCATTACTTGTTTTACAGAACCAATCCTAGCAGACCGATATCCTTTAGACAGGCCTTTAAAACAAGCCCTAACACATTTTTCAATAGCAGTGAGGAGTAGATCAAAGGGGTTTAGCAGAGAAACGTCCTGTATGCTTCACAAGAATGCCACAACTGAAACAGACGGCTTTACTCATCATAAACTGTCTATCACTGTAGCAAAACAACTTAACCTAGTTACAGCTGTATGAACTATACAGAAGTGCAGACATGAACTGAACATAACCAGTGTTATTTTAGTATTATTATTTACATAACAAAATAGCATATTTTATTTACAGTATTAGCTTTTATTTTTATATTTTCATTTCGTGTAAACTTTGGTTTAAGATTTAGTAATTTTGTTATATGATTTTTTAATGTATTATTTATATTTAGCTTCTTTATTTTTATTTCCGTTTTAGCCATTTTTAGTACTTAACTTAATTTCAGTAAGTTTCCAAGGCAACATTTGTCATTTTATTTAAGCTTTCTGTGTGATATTTATATTTTATCTTCACTTTATTTCAATTAACGAGAACATTTTATTGTTTTAATTAACAACACTATCATAACACTAGTTTTGTTTAAAAAAATGCTATAAAAAAAGACAAGCATGGACGTTTAAAGAAATGCTGAAACACTGTCCTCACAGGCCATAATAAATGATTAGAAACAGCAAACCTACAGATCATGAGATGAGTGGACTTTACACGTAACTGAAGTCATTGAATGACACAATTCACAATAACATGTACTCTCAAAGCGATTAACAACAGTAACTTATTTTCCGACAAGCAAAATAGTTTTCTTCATTACGGGCTCACAAATCATTTCAATGCAAATTTTCAGTTGAGGTATGAGAGTAACAAAATCCATCTGAGTGGAGACGAGCCAAGGCCTTAGCATTACAAATATGTAAGAAAATATCTAAACAAGACAACGCCTTCTTTGCATCACACTGCTAAGCTAGAACAGGTCAGGGTGGGATAACAACAATAAGAGCTACTTCTCAGCTGATTTCATAGCCGCTGAATATGTGGCACTGTACTACTACAAGCAAAACATTTTTGTGTAATTATTAATTCACAAACTCTTTTGTGGACGAAGTATGTACGAACGAAACCCTCGTGACTATAGGAACAACTTAATATGCCTGATGGTGGCAGTTAACAATTTTTAGACATCAATTTCTCATGTCTACATAATCAATGTCCCAACTCAACTGCTCTCAGCTCAAATGATGAGTTCATTTATAACTAAAGGAAAATCTTGAAACAAAATGACTGCGTACTAAATCCAAAGATTTTTTTTAGCAGCAATAAGGGTTAAACGTTAACAATCACTGTAAAGTGAACAGTAGATCCACACAGCTGAACACCACCTGCTTCTCCTTACTAAAGAATCAGGCTACAGTCACATGAAAGGCCCTAAGAAACGCTCCTGACATTTCTCTCCCTCTTTCATGGCGTTTAACACCTGCTGGGATCCAGCGTTCTGGCTTCAGATGACTATCAGCGACTCTATCACGCTCCAGTAAAACACTTCTCCCACTCTTCTGCAACAGAAAGCTTGCAACAATCATCCAGTATCTGATGTTTCTTTTGTGTGTTGCCTTTTCCCCTCAATCCACTGTAGATGATTCATCACATTATGTGGAGAAAGAGGCGTTTACACAATACGAGACGGCATAGCTGCCAATAAAAAGAGAAAATGCAAAGACAGTGACAAAGTAACAAGTGTTTTACTATAAAATTTACAAAGAATAACAAGCCAGTATAAGAATTCCTATCATTGCATGTTTTAAAACGGGCAAGACCTCGTGACATTTGTTCTAGTAGAACTCAGAGGAGTTCAAGCATCAATGCTCCTAACTTCCAGCCACTACACTGTCCAGCACAGGCTAAAGGGATTATGCAATAAGCCATGTAATACCAGATCCTTACTACACTCAGGGAGACTGTGGCCTCAAGAACTGTGGAATTCCTCATAAAACAGCCGAGACGGGAACACTGTTGCTCATTTTTCGCTCTCATGCCACCCTCAGCTTACCATTCTTGCCTGATTTGCAGAACTAAACAGAAGATGTCAGTCTCGGTTCCTCTACTGATAGCCTAATTCACCTCTGCACAAAAACGTCCTCTGTTCACTTCCCATACTTCCTGTTTTAGGGGAACCACTTTGTATAGGTTTCTTTAGACACATTACACTAACCCAAGCCTTTAGTAAAAGCAATGAAATGTGAATAATCAATATCCACAATCAATAAAATGCAACATCGGTTTTAATGCATACTTGAGTCTGGTAGGATTCGTATGGATCACTGTTTAAAATTTTATGAGACTACAAATGCATGTTTATGGAGATGTAGGTGCATGCTTCCTTACTTAAGAAGTGAAACAAACAAAACTGTGTACTTGATCCGGTTTAGACCTCAAGGAAGAAAAGTTTTCAGGGACTGTCCCACCAAACAAATTAGTTTGACTGAAAAGCAAAGTACAGTAGCAGCTAGGAATAATTTTCATCAGGAGTTTTTCCTGATGCATAATTTAAAAGTAAATATTTACAATAATGTATACTATAGTGTCATTTTGCAGGTTAAAAGCCTGGAGGATGTGGGTAACGACATGCGTGCATCATTTTATCTCTATATAAGCATAAAACAACTTCCTGGCTGAATAATGAACAGGCATATAACGCATTGCAATAGAATATATAAGGTTTTCTGTTTTACTTGAGGGTGTGGTTGTTTACTTAACTATATTGACGAAATGTGTAATCTCAAAATTGGTTCATTGTGTCACTTCATTTTAAATAAAAATATATGAAACAATCCTCCACCCTTACAATAACTACGAAGTCAACCTCTTGTAAAAATAGCACCTCAACATTGAGGAAGCCACTGGGGAGACTATAGACTCCGTATTAAAAAGCAGATAAAAATATGCATACTTTTATATGATTTTTTAGGAATAATAAAAACTGTTTTCATAAACAATAAGAGAGACCGATTATTACCTAGACACAGTGACAGAACGCAAGCTGTGTAGTTGGCGCTGTCAAAATATGAAAGCCTCATTACAAGCGAGATATTTGATCCAAAATGTCACACTAAAATAACAAAACACAATAAGTTTCTTGGTGCGTTATTAACCAGGTAGTAAACATAATTAATCACAAAACACCGTCAAATTTGTAACCGAGGCCTGTGAAGCAGCGTTAGCCGCGGCTGAGCGCCAATGGATAACTGATGCTAAAGTTATCACTGAGCCAGCTTAGCACATCACGTACAGTTAGAAAGAACGCTGATTAGCCTGTGGCTAACGCTAGCATTATTGCTAATTAGCATATTCCACAGAGTTCGACTGGCTGCTGATTAGCATGATGCTAAAATTAGCAAGTTAGTAATTAGCCTCCTAAAGTGCGCGGTACAGTAACAGCACCAAGCAAGATCGAAACAGCCTCTGACTGTGGTTTTTCTTAAGATTTTTTCGTCATGTACGCGAGCGTATTTGGATTAAATGATATTCTGATACCGTCAGCCCGGTTCCCAACACGATAACGTCGTACTCTTCATTCATTTTTCTTCGTCTTTAATCCCCTTTTCCTACGCGTCGGCCCGAAGAAAATGGAGGTCTTGCAAAGCTGGAAATGAAAGAAGTGCGCTGTCACGTCACCCCCAGTGGGTGTGGCTGAAGTGGGCAGGGTGTGCGAGTTTGCGCGTGCTCCGATGCGATTGGTGGACTGTGTTGTCAATCATCGTGGGCGAATGCTCCGCCTCCTGCTCGCCAGAGCCGCTCACCTGCATAAAGTGGTGGGGATTTTGATTCATCCAAGTGACTCGGATCTTTGAATACGTTCACGGAAATATCACATACATAAAGTAAAATATATGTCAGTTAGTCACTAAGTGTCAGATTGTTTTCCACTGACTTAAGGCTACATATTGACTAAATTTTGAAATAGATATAAGAAGTACATGTACTAGATTATGCGTTAACAGGTGTTAAGTTCTGTAACTGTTTACCCCTGAAGAAAACGTACAAAAATGACTTTTTCTATGTTACATCGTTACGCCAGTAGGGGGCGACAAGTTAGCTCTTTGCGTTTATACACTGTGCGATTTTCGTCCGATTTTAAGCAAATTCTGACTCATGCGACTCTTTTTTTTTTATGCACAATCAGCTTGTAACACTCCAAAGAGAAAGGAAAACTTGAAATCGCATCATATGACCCCTTTAAGAAATAAATCATTCACCCAAACGATTAATCAAAAACACAGTGCCATTCTGACTAAATAAATCATTAGGCTTGTTTGAGATGAGCTTGTTTGACCGATCTCTGTGTGAGATATGTGCTTGTTGTCATATTTCTATAAAAATCTAAAATACATGTTTGTAACAAAGTAAAAATTGATGATAAATACACCTTTCGTATGGAATTAAATAGCAAGCACTTTGAGTGTCTTGTTCATCATATTTACTTTCATATAAAAGCAACAGAACTGAAATCATATCATGATTATTAGCAACACAGCACGTGAGTGTAAATAACGCGATATCTGCCTTTGATCTGGTAGGTATCTGTTCACTTCGAGAGGTCAGAACTGTCCGTCTTGACTGTGCTTATTTCACTCCTCCCCTCACTGCAGCCGCCTACATTTCAGGCTAGGCGAGGCGAGGCGCATCTCAAACAAGCCTATTCAGTTCATTCAGACTCACTTACAGCAAAGGGGACTGAAATGAGAACGATTCACTTAGCCTAAAAGAGTCGTTCAAAAACAACGATTTGAACCACAATGGCAACAAATGTGTATAATTACCAAGTGTTTCATGCCATGCTCTTCATATGAAAAGGCACAAATAAATAGTTTTACCACATGACTTTAATAATAAGCATTTCTTTTGTAACTTTGTGTCTCCACTTTTGCTTAATATTCATTCAAAGCAATGATTTATTTTACACAGCAATTACATTTCAAGACTTTCGAACACTTCTTTAATGAGAGTTTTTTTGGCATACTGTCTTGCTGTATTGCCTGTATTGTCTTCAGTATCTCCGAGTCCCAATTGTAGCAGCATTCTAACGGAGTCCACATGCTGTCCAATGCAGGCCATATGTAGAGCTGCAAACCATTAAAAAAATATCACTTTGTGTTCTAAAAAGATCCCTATTATGGCATCTCACTAAGCTGGCATGCAGTGAAATACACTGTAAAGTGTAACCTGATCTTCCTTTTGTGTCTCTTGCATGTAGATCAGCGCCCAGGGCGAGCAGTGTTTTTATGGCATTTGTGTGACCTTCCTGAAAAATGAGCATTGAGATCAAAACCAGATTAGAAGAGGAAGCGTGTTTATCTTAACTGTGCTTCATGTTTAATGCAATAGATACAACCTTAGCGGCATAGTGCAATGCAGTCAGCTCCAGTTTTGTGGCTCTTGAGTTTATATCGATACCAAGATTACGCACGAGGAAAGAAAGTGCTTCTTCCTGAGCAGTTACAGAGGCCTGATGTAGGGGCTGTGCACCGAGAATATCTACCGCTGAAGGAGATGCCTAAACCAGATAAACGTGGATATGCTTATATCTAATATAACAAAAACAATGTAAGTGATTGATGTTGATATGTGCTTACCTGGTGATTCTCAAGGAGCAATTTAGCTGTAGCTTTGTGTCCATTTCTTATGGCATCCATAAATGGTGTGACTCCACAACTGTCCTTCCCATCAGGTTCATAGCTACAACTGAATTAACATGCAAACCATGTGAGCAAAATAAGAAGGCATTGTGCTATACACATGCATACTCAAAATATGTTACCTCTGAAGCAGAATCTTCACTGCATCCTCACAGCCGTGCATAGCTTAGGTGAGAAAAAAGGCAGATACATGATGGCAAATCTGGGAAAACATTCATTCATGTGCTTCCATACCAGCAGTGTGGAGGGGCGTCCTGCCAGTCTTGCTCTTTGTCTTCCAGACCTCGGGTTTGGCCAGTAGGAGGTGGTGTGTGATGGCTAGATCTCCTTCTCTGCATGCAATGTGGAATGAGTTCCACCCATCCTTGTTCTGCAGCATTGGGTCAGCACCGTGATTCAGCAGCTCCAAAACGACCTCGAGGTTTCGACGGGTACAGGCCATCATAAGAGGGGTCCTAGAGAGGTTAGAAGCCGGTTTTGTTCAAATGCAGCAAAGCTGCTCAAGAACAAAACAGTGCTATTGTCAACTAAAAATAAAATTATTGAAAATATATATATATTTTAAATTGAAGTAAAGCTGAAATAGAAAAAATATAAATATTAGATAAAAAACTTAAAATTTCGTCTTTTTAAACAAAAATAAGAAATGTAGGCTTGGCTACTAAATGAAATACATTTGAAATTGAAGTACTAAAACTAAAACTTTTTTTAATTTTTAAAAATGAAATATAAATTAAAACTAAAAAGATATAAAAAAAACAAAATTATTAAAACTTAAATGAAAAGTGAAAAAATAAAAACAAACGCTAATTTAAAATATTAATAAATAATAGTATATATATATATAAAATACTAAAATAACACTGAGCTACTTGAAAATGAAAATATGAATATAATCACTCAAAAATATACTTCACTGCCCATAAATAATAATAATAATAATATGCATTTGACATTTTTATTTAATTTATTTATTTTTAAAATGTGTATAAGTAGTATTTATAAAGTTTTAGCTTTTAGTTTTGGATCTATTTTTAGTTGTTTTTAATACTACAATTGATTGCTTCTGTTGTCCTCATTTGTAAGTCGCTTTGGATAAAAGTGTCTGCTAAATGACTACATAAATACATAAATAAATAAATAAATAAATACAACATGTTCTGCATGGAATTATGTGCACACATTATAACTGTAGAATTTACACTATATTAGTATAGTACATTAGTAATTTTGTAATGGGATTTTATGATTTCTATTAGTTTAGTTAGTATTTTTATTTCAGTTTTAGTAATGTTAGTACATCAGCTTCAGCGTATTTTATTTCAGTTTTCATAATATTCATTTTATGTCAGCTTTATTTCAATTAACGAAAATTATCCTTTATGGTTTTACTTAACAATAACACCGCTGTTATTATATGACGTACAAATGTATATAAACAGCGGAAAACAGTATTTTGCATTAGACTAAAAATCTTTCCTTCGAGCCGGATTCGAACCAGCGACCTAAGGATATCAATGCTGAACCTCTACAGTCCTCCGCTCTACCAACTGAGCTATCGAAGGCATTGGATCAATGTTTACTTCCTGATAGTATATTCCATCTACTACATGAACATTCGTGAATTGGCTTCAGAATTTATGACGCACCAGTCTGCTTTCTTCAAACTGTCTATTTTCGCTCCCCTGGCAATGAGATACCGCACACACTCATACTGACTCATGGAAGAAGCCTCGTGCAGAGCTCTCTTGTAGTCGTTGTTGTACACTTCAACGTCCATATTGAGCTCCTCTACTAAATAACGCACAATTTCCATGTGTCCATGTCTGGCAGCATAGTGCAGTAAAGTATCTCCAGATTTCCCGAAATGAGTATAGATGACAGACTGCTTGTTGACGTGCTCATTGAGATGCTGTCGGACTGTGCACAGCTCTCCATGTTGAATTGCTTTGATTACGTGCTTTAATGTGCTTTCTTCCTCCATTTAGCTCAATTCAACTCTTCTATATAGACTGCTTAAAGGAAAAAACACACACAACCGCGATGCATTACTAGTGAATGATGACAACAGAAACTTAACTTACGATATTTTTAGTAAATGGTCGGGCATGTGACAACGACGGCGCCACCCACCGTTTTCTTCAAAATAAAAGTCCCACTATTAGTTTTTTCTTAATGTTTTTTTAAAGCTGCAGTCCGTAATTTTTTTGGTTAAAAATGATCCGAAATCAATATTTGAGCAAGTGCATAACCAGCCAGTGTTCAAAACTATCGCCTTACTTTAGCCCGATTCACAACGGTTAGCTTATAATAATGTTTTCTAATTTTAGGTATTCGCGGGAAATTCGAGCATGGTACTGCGTCATTACGTCACGTCTGTAAACACAAAGAAGTTGTTCCGGCTACTAGACTATTGCATGTGAGGATCCTGCAGGTGGCCGATCATTAACCGCCTTTTCTCACAGCAGCCAGAATAATTAAATGTATCAATTTGATGGTGAATTGTAATCCAGAAAGGATTATGTGTTTATGAAACACGTGAACGAAATTAAATTTTATTCCAGTTATAAATGTGCTTCTGATTACAGATAGCCTGGGATTACAAAGATTTGTATTTTAAAGAAAACCAGTTCGAAGGGAGCATAATTTGCTTTTTGGGTTAAAATAATTTCTTAATATGAAATTCGAAGAGTATGACAGTTAGATTAGACTGTGCAGAAATTGAAATCTACACCCTAATACACACTACTCATAGTCACCAATGTGGATGTTGTTAACATTATAATAATTTGAGAATAAAGTATAATAATAATTTGCACAATAAGTTTGATGTGATATGAGCTAACCAATCTTTAGATGTAATCACCATTGGTAGCGAGATTTATGGTACTGCTTTTTTCCTCAGTTGGTCAGAACAAACGTGGCAGACTTGTTACTTACTTGTTCAGATGACAATATACGGTGAAAATTCTTATTTGGGTCATATTCCAAGAAGTAGGCTAGAATCTGTGATTGCGAAGTACAGTAAATATCCACACCGGTGCTGTGACTGACTGCCACACATACTCTTCAGAACATTAGATTCATCCACGCCCACTCACAACCCGCAAGGAAGATAATTCCGCACACAGCTGCAATTGCAGGTTTTCAAACAGAGATGGCGACAAAGAGGCAAAACTTACGGACTGCAGCTTTAACTTTGCAAAATATAATAATCTCATAAAACTATAAAACAAGAAAAAATAAAGTACAATGACAAACCATTATGACATTTCCTGTCCTCATGTTTCTTACTACCCACAAACTACTGGTAGACAGACAGACATATAGATAGATAGATAGATAGATAGATAGATAGAATAAACCGACAGATACAGTAGACAGACAGACAGACAGACAAATAGATAAAACTGACCGACAGACAGAAAGACAGACAGACACATTGAGAAAGAGAGCGAGAGAGAGAGAGAGAGAGAGAGAGAGAGAGAGAGAAACCGACAGATACAGTAGACAGACAGACAGACAGACAAATAGATAAAACTGACCGACAGACATAGAAAGACAGACAGACACATTGAGAAAGAGAGCGAGAGAGAGAGAGAGAGAGAGAGAGAGAGGGAGAGAGAGAGAGAGAGAGAGAGAGAGAGAGAGAGAGAGAGAGAGAGAGAGAGAGAGAGAGAATGGTGTAAAAGTGGCTTACAAATTAATTCACATCAGGGAGAATTTTACATATATCATTTAATATTTAGACTTGGGGCATTAGCCTTTTATCACAGCACAATTTGCATAATTTATCAATACCGTTTGTGTACAACCACAAAAACCATGACAGCTGGATTTTTTTCATCAGTTTACATTAAGTGGAAAACCAGACGGATTATTCAAGCATATCTTTGTACAGTCAGCATACATATTTAGATCTGATTAATTTTTCATAATCTTATTCTCTTTTTGTAAATAGAATCTGGACACAAAAATAGAACAAACCACCAACAAGACATGCAACATCCAAAGTGAAAACACCATACGTTTCCTGATTCTACTTGGATTCAGTAAGGTCAACATCTGTTCGTTATTGTACAGGGTTAAATCGGTGTCTGTTGTGCAGGTCAAGTCCAGTCCATCAGAGGCAAGCATGAGGAAAGCTTTTAGTGCATGTACAACATGTAACACACAGCCGCTCTGCTCCTTTTCCTCAACACATGCTCTTCGCTGAAACAGAAATCTAATACAAGATCCTATTTGTACAAAAAGAAAATGATCATTTTTATTTACACAGCTTGATTTTGTTTATTTATTTTGTATCACTTTTGCAGAGGTGGAAGTTAGTGTGGCGAAGTGGAGCATGCGTGAATAATTCAAAGGAGGCTGCGTTGTTTACGATGAATTCATGTGACGATTTTGTTATATGATGCCTTTTTCTCATCTAATTTGTAAACATAAAAATTATAACACATTCTGGGAGATCAGAATATATAGTGAAAGCTGAGCATTGTATATAAAGCTGAGTGCAGTGAGATAGTTGTGTTTCCAGACACTGTGAATGACTAACATAAGATGACCAGTCTGCTATGATCCTGTAAACACATTTTATGTACATTTGAATTCTCAAAACTAGCAGTTATATAGTTGAGTAGGTTAATTAACCCAATGTTTTTGCAAACACATCGTTAGCAATAAAAAATTAATTAAACAAGCATCAAGCAAAAGACACAACCAAAAATGTATAAAAGCAAACATATGTACCATGTGGGGGAAAAAAACATACAAAAATAAAAAAAGTACTCATTCGTAATGCTTTATCTGTCCTTCGACTACTAAACAATAAGTAGCCTACGCCAAACGCTGTCTCGGTTGCATAGAATAACATACACAGAATCTGCGGATTTTGGTAGTTTGGCACAAGGTTGACTCAACCATTAACGCTGGATGTTTGAGTGAATATCAGTAAGTGCATGACCTGTATAATGGCTGGGTTATTTTTTTTTGTAAGGTTTTTATCCACACATCCTAAGTTTAAAGGCATAAAAAAAACGTAAGAAACAACATACATATACATACATATATA